AGTTTACACTATTTGGTATCTTTATCGCACATGTCATGTCAAAATGAAAACTTACAACCGGTATAACTGACAGGATCAGTATATGTTTTCTATAGAAGGCTTAATGTAAACACAAACGTTAACAAAGGAATACATAATGAACTGAATGTGAACGATTAAACAAGTATTCTAGCTAAAATGAATAGAATTATTACAAAATTGCCCGCATGTTATCAGAAATCTGGGGGTCACTGTAGTGAGTGAGTATGGTTTTACACCGCTTTAAGCAATATTCCAGTAACATCACGGCTTGGGGCACCAGAAATTGGCTTCACACATTGTACCCATGCGGGGAATTGAACCCAGGTCTTCGGCGTGACGAGCAAATGCTTTAACCACTTGGCTACCCGACCGCCCCAGAGGCTTTTTGTATCTTGATAACAGTCCGCTTTCCCCTAACAACGGGCTGCATCTTTTCTATTGCTATTTGACGTACGTACGTCACTGGCGTCACGTTGCTTGTTTGTGACGTCATCCTATATTTTGTTCTTTGACGTTGCTATTTATAAGTTAGTGACCTCCGTTGTGATCCTTTTTCCTCTATAGTTTTAATGAATAAAGTCATGAACGTGGATTCTTAAAAATTGCCTTTTCAAATAACAATTAATGATATGAAAAAAACAGTTGTCGAATAACGGATTTCTGTACCAGACGTTTCCTGTAAATATGTCAGGTGGGTGTTGGAAAATCCAAAATGGCTGTTACTGACGGTATACGGTCTCATATTAGGTCAGTAACAACCATCTTGGATTTTTACTGACGGTATATGATGACAGCAGTTCTGCTCTCTGATGGGTCAATCACATTTTGAGGCATAATAAACGGATATATGTGTCAATGTGGCATGCAATAAGCTTCCTTTACAATAAATAACGTCAGTTTTAGAAACATCACACCGCACGCTAATGACAATGCCATCAAATTAAAAACAGCTCTGACACCACATATTCCAACACATAACATGGCATTCAAATAAATACTCATACTCAAGACCTGTGATGTGTATGGCAATCTCGTTACACAGAATGTATCATAACAGTTCAGCACTACAGTTCAGGAGAATATGTTTTGTTCCTTACATCAGAATAAATAAGTCATGCTGTATTGCACAGTTTCATATTGTTCTCTCTTTTGGTAGAGCTAGATATCTTTTACTCATGTACATCCCAACAACAGTCACTTATTCACTCATTAGAAGGTCAAAGCTGTAGGTATAGTTCTAAACATAATGTTGGCTGTGGGGTAGCCTAGAGGTTAAAGCGTTCACTCGTTAAGCTGAAGACCCGGGTTCGATCCAACATGGGCATAATGTGTGAATCCCATTTCTGGTGACCCCCGCCGTGTTATTGCTTGAATACTGATATAAACGGCGTACCCACTCACTCACTTAAAACATAATGGAAACGAATTTTATTGAAACGTATCCCGGTGAATTTGGAGTGCTGACATGAAGTGATCGCAATACATGTCAGGCTTGCATGTCACTGATTGTCAGTGACCCATTCATATAATTTCGACCACTTTTTTGCCTTTCGAGTTAATCGAGACTGATTATTCTCTGGCATTGACGTGTTATATTTAAGAGTAGGCCTCAGCCGTCTTGAAATTAACATGCCATCAGCCTACACTACTGTACAGCGTTGGCTGTATAATGTGCTGTGTTCTCTTTCTCCTTGGCCTCTTTAAACAGTCAAATCTTTGAATGTGAATACATTAACACATGGCCCAAGCGTAACATACATCAGGCCATCATTGTCCAGACAGAGGCATCGGGGATGTTCCAGCCCTTCTGTGAGCACATCTCTGACAAACTGTCCGGACTCTGTCAGTTGAATCACCTTCTTGCAATCCCGGTCCACAAGGAGAACATCTCCTGTGCTGGTTGTTGCGAAACCTCGAGGACAGCTCAGAACATTTTCTCTGGTTGAGGGGTAATAAAAAAGAACTTCTCCATCACTGGTCACCGACACAAAAGAATTCACATCTCCTTGGCCAACGAGAATATTCTTCTGATCGGTAATTTGGATATAATCTGGACTCACGATTGAACCTGTGTTAATGGATTTCAGCACGTGTCCCTCCATGTCAAGGAGATCAACAGAGTTGGAAGTTTTAAATGTTCCAGCCAGTAGCTGTGATGGGGCGGGACACGCTAAGGCGAAGTATTCCTTCTTTGTCCTGATGGTTGAGAGTAAGACGGGATTGGGTGTGAGCTGCACGGTAACTATTTCCTTACTATCTGGAACACTGACTGCTATATGTTTTTTATGTAACTTTGCTATTTGCCAGGGTCTGTCAGAAAGCTTCAGACATCTTTTATGAAGATTTGACTTTGATGTGTAAATGGATTTCAGACTTCTGTTGATGAAATCTGCTACAATCATGATCGTATTTGGCTCACCACTCGAGCTCACCACAGTGACGTCAATCAAATCAGGACACCACTTGTCCTCCTTTGTGTGACAGTCAATGGTGTGATGGAGGACAGCAGACGACTTCCGGTCACTAACATCGTGGACAACTTCAATCTGGTGAGAATAGTCACCATTTTCGTTTACACATTGCGTGAAGACAATCCTCTTTGGAACTGGCCTGTATTCCAAGAGGGGGATCATATTTTGTATAGATTCAACATCACACACATCATGCTTTGTACTGCAACATTTATCACAAAGTGCAATATTGCAACCTTTGCAGTAACGTTGGACCTGGCTGTCTCTGTGCTCTCTACACATTAGATTCTGCAATGGATCGACAGTTGAAACAGACAAGTCTGTGTTGCCCCGATCGTGTGAAAGCGGGGATGTGCTGTGTGGCCCAATACTTCCAAAACAGCTTTCTGGTGGGGGGACTGGAGCTGGCAACTCGTCATGTCCTGATATATTTCCAAAAGAACCTAAAATGTCGAATAAAAAGTACCAGGTTAATAAAAAGAGAGATACAAATAGATATTCTGTATTATAAAATAGTCCTAGCACCTATGCAGGTCGTAAGAGGCGACTAAACTGACATGGTGGTCCGACTTGTGGCATTGATATAGTGTTAATGTATAACGCGTGGGACGTTGCTCATAATATTAACCACTGGTTTGGTTGACCGAGACTCAATTATTTGCAGGCCTCTGTCATATATATGGTATGATGTGGCTTTAAACTACAAAACCATTCAATATAAATAAGCGTTTGTGTGAACATTTTACTCATGTAGTACACGTTTTAGATCTACAAGAACCTTTTTCAAAATCTAGCATGTCTTCTTTTCCTAAAGCTCAGGGATACTCAAGACGATCACCTGATGTACAGTCGTTTACCAGTTCCTGGTTGGAAAGGTTTGGCTTCAGCTGGCTGACCCGCTCCTCTACCGGTCTGTCCCGAGTGGTACCCTTCGTCAGTTGTCGACAGGTAGGACATAAGATTGCATTGCGTGTAGCGTTTACTTCTTCAGGCTGTGTGGTGGTGTATTTCTGTAGACAGGGCTTGCAGAACGTGTGATTACACTGAAGTGTGGCACGATCAGTGGTCACCTCAGCGCAGATCGCGCATCTCATGCTTCTGTATTCTAAAAGGTCTACCATCTAGAAATGACATTCAAATTCAAATTAACAATAAAGATATTAGATCGAGACACGATATCTTTCGGACTCTGCTTCAAGACATTCACAACGATTGCGGCGCCTTAAGCTACCCCAAGGGTCATAATCTGGGTTAATCTGTGATTCGAGCCAAGAGGTCCTCGATCAAATAATGAATGCATCCCTACACAACAAGATGTTCCGCTGTAGTGAATCATTGGCTTTCCCTACACCCAAACAGAGTGAGTGAATTTTGTTTATGCCCGATCTCATTAAAATCAGATTTAAGTTATCGCTGCCGCTAAACAAATATCTGAGGACATCCCATTACGGGTCTTGTCAGAACGACCTTTCGCGAACTTTGACCGACCACTGAAATGACTGACAAGAAGTCGACATCAGCCAATTAGAAAGCAGCTTTCTCGAGCTTTATGGCACTTTCATTTCAGACTACGCTTGAAATATTTGTTGACACAGTTCTCGATTAAAATTTTGAAAACTGAACAAACGGATATTCGGGAATGTCTAATATATGGTTGAGATTGTATGGCAATGCTTACCACGTACTGTGAAACGCCCCCTCCGTTCTAATGTTTACACCTCGGAAGCGAGAGATAGACGATAATTTTGACGGAATCAGTCGTAGGGGCCGTAACTGTCGTTCGGAATACACCGAGTTAACATTTTCGAGGTTGCATGATTAGAAAACGCATTCCGACTGTCATTTTCATGATCTGGTAAGCGACGCTTTGATTGGTCGGGTGAAAGGTCGTTCTGACGTTACCCGTAATGGGATGTCCTCAAATTTGTTTAGCGATAGCGCGAAAAATGATCTGATTTTAATGAGATTGGTTTACGCCGTTTAGAACAGTATACCCGTTATATTCCGGAGCGCCCGCTTGATGTAGGAGGTTAGCCCCAGGTGATGCAGGTGTTAGCAGTTTACCACTTTGGTGAAACCCACGAACAGGGTAATGGTGCTGACAAACCTCGAAACATAATCAGGTAGAACCAGGACTTGAACCCACGATCATAGGTCTCTGGCTCGAAAAGACAAATAACTCTTGACTGCGAATTTTGGCTCCTTAGGCGACCGGGCCAATCGTGACCCCTACCTAATACGTATAGGATAGGTATAGAATAGAGAATGCATCGTAATGACAAGACCTTGAACACAGTGTCTCTCTGCCCTACTTTCGAAACCACTGTGACGCCCCTGTAAAGAATGTATTTGATATGTGCAGTGTCGGTAGTACAATGGAGTACGCATATATCACATGAGACGGTGATTTAGTTCACAGTTCCACAAGGCTCCAGACACATTCTACAATGGTGTTTTAAAATGGAAGTCTTGCAAATTTTGAAAAGTATATGTAATTATTGCACTTACCATAAAAATGGCTCAAGACAGAAATATGTTGTGCCAACACCCCTTGTTGCAATCCGTATCGTACTCTGATAAACGTGTCACCTTCGACGTTTTGCCAAATCCATAACGATGACCTAGCAAGAAATGAAATTAAAATTTATGTTCGTTTTCTCCTGCAGATGTGTTAGCGCAAACCTCGTTTCATCGCCTATGTGGTCATACTTTGGGGAGACTGGGTTTTCACGTGGAGTCAATAGATGTGATGTGACGTAAATAAAGATAACGCTGTCAACACTTGTAGTGTTTACTTTGTAAACTCAATACAACCTGAAGACGTTGCATTATTTCGTTGCATCTCTTATAGGCCCCCCGTAGGCACAGTGCACATGAGTATTGCATACTGTAATTAATCATTTGATATTTCACTGACTTCTTCTTTGATAGGCATTTAGAAGTTGGAGTACTAAGTAAGGATAAGAATTTATGGATGAACAGCTTCTTTATTACAATTAAGTGCGACGTTTTGGTGTAGGTTCTAACACCCTTACCAACAAGTGATATACAGAGTGTGGTTGACAAGTATACATACAAGTAGGAGGCAATGTTTATACAGTAGTGTAGATATTGTTATACTGGAGTAGAGTATACACATGAGTAGTGATGACAATCACGGTGAAGTCATTGACATAAACAAAGGATGAAGCCAGTAATATATACAACGGGGTTATGGCTGATTGGGGTCTTAGATGAGTTGATGGTACGCCGGGGGTATGTAATAGCCTTGGTCACGGTTGATTGACGACTGGAGTCTTTTGATGTTGGTGGCTTCTCGTAGTTTCCTGATATTGAAGTCTTTGAGGTTTCACTGGTCAGTTATGACGAAATTGGTGGGTCCCGGAGCATCCATGTATGTTGTCAACCCTTTTCAATCCTCATCCATATTCAAATTCTTAAATCCTTCAGTGTTTGAACTTAATTGTTTTCAGATTTTAAAATCAAATATTGCAACAAAGCAATAGCATGCAACCAAGAACAAAACATGAGGTACATATGATAAAAAAACTTGATGTAAACTTTCAATAGTTTCTGTGAAGAACCTTACAAGATATAATCTTTAAAGTAAATTCTCTGCGGAAACAATGATCAAAATCAAAATCAAATATGGCCGCAACTAATAACTATCCCATAAAGGATATCAATGTTTGATGTGTTATCACCTGGATTCAGGGTCGTATGCTTTTGAAGACCTGTGTACCCAAAACCCTGAATCCAATATGGCTGCCAAACCACATGGCCAATGTCCACAGTTAAAGAACAAAAGATGTCAAGCACCTAAAGCAGGAGGCACATGTAGAGTGTGAAAGTAATCGGAGTCGCGGTTTCAGAGCAGCTGGGCAAAATACATCTCATGCCAATAAGTCATTTAGTTCCAGTCAACTTGAATCCACTTTATAAATTCAGTGCACATGAGTATGCTATAGTGTAATTTATTACTTGATATGTCATTAGTCCGTTTTGACAAAATTGGCGGGAGCCAGAACATTCTTGGGTCTTCTGAACCCATTCCAGTCATTGTTCATATTCGAATCCTCAAATGGTTTCTTTGTACCAATGCCGTCAAAAGTAAGACGCAGCTACGTAATTGGCGTGTGCAGGGGTGTCCCAGGGCATAGGGCCCTAATAATAAAACGAACGATTACAATAGAACAATATGATTACAATCATAATCTAGATCCCACTCTTCATACACACACGAAATTTGGTCGAAATCGGACCAGTAGTTTCCGAGATACAAGTGTTCAGAGGTCTGCTGTACGGCAGTTTGTTGCAGGGGTCAAATTTTCCGGAAGAGAAAAGAGCGTAGCTCCCTTGTCCATTGAGCTACAGTCAAACGGATTAGCGTTCTGACGCAAGGGACCCTGGATTTCTGTCGCATTGCTTAGATAAAGTGCTGAACCTGTTTCCGATCCATGTTCGAATCCCCAAATGGTTTGGTTGTACCAATTCCGTCAAAAGTAAGGAAACGCTTGCAAGACATCGCCTCTACGACACTGACGTGTCCCAGAACGTCACGGGATGTTCTGAACCAATTTCACACGCCGTCCATATTCGAATCTGCATATGGTTTGCTTGTTCTGGGGTGTCGGGGGGCCATTGAAACTGAGTTCTTAATGACACTAATCTTGGCTGTTTTGCCCCCTGGATCGGGGAGCAGGACTAAAAACATTTTCAAAAGTTCAAGGTCACTAAGGTCACAGGGTCAAGGTCATTTAGGAAGTCCGTTAAACGACAATGTACTTTTTTTGGCGAGCTGAGTCGCAACTGTAATTGCATGTATGGTAGAAGCGATTGGTTTTTATGGTTTACCCCGACCTGTTGTATCATATGTTTAGGTCAAATTTCCGCGGATCTATCCACTAAAACCTTGTTTTGTCGATTTCCCATGAACAATGTTACGTACAAAGCTGAAACTTTGGAGGAATCTTCCAACGGTCTGTATCTAACAATGCAAGTATGGTTTCCATGACAACCTGACGAAACGTATCTTAAATCCAAGATGGCGGCCAAACGGTTGGGTGTAGCACTTTTGAGCCCAACTCCAGATCGAAATTGATCAGTATCTTATGAAGATGTCACATGCAAATTCTGAAACCTATTGGACTAATAATGGCTGAGATATATGATGTTTTATGCCGTTTTTATCACTTTAATGCATTCTGACGGTCTTCAATCAAATATGGCCCCCAAATGACGCAATATTTTTACAAAGAGCTTAGAACATGAAATGTTCAGCGTCTGATGCTGGTGCATTATTGTAATTTGTAGTACTTTCAATGAAGAACTTTAGTAGATACGTAGTTTGTAAAGTAATTTTATTAGAGGCTACCAAAATCCAATATGGCCGCCACATCACGTGATTTTTGACATAAGAGCAAGAATAGAACTTGTTCAGGAACCAAAGCAAGATACAACATTGGTTGTTCAAGTGCTTTACCTGATAAGTTTCCAGTGCCAGAGCTTGCTAAAGAAGTCCTGTCAAAAGTTTGAAGATTACTTTGGGCCGGAAGCAAGAGTCAATATAGCGGCCATGGATGACATATCTCAGCATTTTTTCTCAGAACTTAGTAGTATGGTACTTGGACATAAAGTATGTAAAGTTTGGAAGCTTTTTAGCTGGTAGTTTGAGCTGAGCACATTTTGAGAGACAAGTACTGAGAAAAATGGTAAAAAAGAGCCAAAACCTCTAATCCAATATGACGGCCAATCGAAGCCATTTAGCGACTTTGGACTCTGGGGCCAAATTATTGGGTATCTGATTCTGCAGCTGTACAAGAAATTTGGAAGTCATTAAAGCTTTAGTTTCGGAGATATTAGCTGTTGAAATTGCAATTTTTGAACTTGTTTTGAGTTACCTGCCCTTAGTCCCTAAGCCAAGAGCCTTGAGATTTTTGTGGTATCTGCTTCAGGACCATATGTATCTTTGTACAAATTTCCAAGAGCTTCCGATAACTGGTTCATGAGGTAGGATTGGAGCAAAAAACGCTGGAATAATAAATAATAGCCCTAATAAATCGAACGATTGCAATAGGGCTCTTGTCTTTTAGGCAGGGAGCCCAAATAAGAAATCGTTATTTTTGCGATTTTGACTGTTTTGACCCCTGGATCGGGTAGCAGGATTAAAAACATTTTCAAAAATTCAAGGTCACCAAGGTCACGGGGTCAAGGTCATTTAGGTAGTCCGTTAAACGAAAATGTTCTTTTTTTGGCGAGCTCAGACGCGACTGTAATTGCAAATCTGAAAATTTGCAGGAATTTTCCAACGGTCTATATCAGTGTAATGATATATTGTTCAATAAAAGTCTCTCTCCTCCCCTGGTGGTATCTTACGATTTTGCCAGAATGCTGCCACTCATATGATGGCTTATGGTTTGCATTTGTCCACGTTTCATCAAGATAAATAATTTTGTAACCCTCTTCTCGTTTCTATGAAATGGTGCGTAAATAGTTTGCTCTCATATGTACCCAAACAGTTCTTTCACACAGTGATAGTTTTGTGCCTGACACACGTTTGTACCGAAGCTAAACTTCACTAATAACCTACATATTGTATATCTTGAAAGGGAAATATTGTGTTCCTTATGTAGAATCATCTTAACGAAAGCTCGTTTTTTCTGGTGAAATCTTCAAGTAACGTCTCTCACTACTCTAAAATTGAAACGGTCTAACTTTGCTACACATCTTAATTTTGAGACGAACCCCTTGTCAAAGATATTTGAAGACTTGTCAATGGCCTGATCAGGGGAGATAATCCGGTATAGATCCGATGCTCTTAAAGTTCGATCTGAAACCTGGAAAGCGATACGATTGTAATACCTCTCTAGGCTTCCTATTTGAAGAACAAGTACACACTTCTGAATCCTGTGATAGGATGACTTTCTTGATCAATGTATGTTAACCGTCGTATCGTTTCCGTTCTCCAATCATGCATATTCATTATTACATTTGTAAGGATGACCTCAGGTCATGCACGAGAATCACTTGCTTACATGAACTGTTTAAGATTCCATCAGTTGCTACCACACCCTGAATGTTGTCATCAAAACGAAAGCGATTTTTTTATGATACATATATGGGTTTCCTTTTTCACAATTGTTGAAGAAAGTTGTAAAAGTTAGTTTCTATTAAGACACAGGCAAACATTTCGATGTGTATAAATATGATTATATGAATTTGAATTAATTTGAAGATAATTGATTAAAACGGTGTCAAAAAAGTTAGGTTGACGGACTATATACCTGTATACTAATTATTAGACTCTGGAGATCACATCGCTGCACATGTTTGGTTGTTTTGTTTTTTTAAATTTACATCATTTCATGTAAATGTGTAACTGAAAGTACAGAATATTTCGTCCAACTATATCAGCATATTTAACTTTAGGCTGACTTAAATCTAAATTATTTCACTTCAGTAAGAAATAGTTGTATGACAATATTCCCGAGGTCCTACTTTGGATGCATGTGTAAATTAGTTCGCGAACGACAGTAACATCCTATTGCGGTCTACTATGAGTACCTGCAGACAATAGTGTTCTGGTGACAACCACTTCACAATGTCAATAATTTCTCCCACA